ACTGATTCGTATCCAACTGAAATACCCTTCGAGCCGGAAGTCCTACATTGCTGGGGTTACTATTTTGTAGACCCACCCGAGACAAAATCTGAAATTTGGGTTTTCTATGAACCCGAATAGTAATATACATTGACCAAAAAATATAGTAGTACACGCTCAGCTCAGGGCCTCAGCCCACAGGTCCCTGAGGCAGTTCTGTGTATATGATCCTGAATTCACTGTGAGGCAGTGTGAGTCCTTGGAGCCTGGAGTGCCCTGGACACAGGATCCGGTCTCCTAGTAGATTAGAGCGAGAAATAACTCTTAACACTCCTACTCTTTGCTTTTTAACTTTTTTTGTACATCCATCGGACGACGGACGATTCACGATGCAGACCATCGGCCTCATTTTTTTTATTGTTTTGTTTTGTTTTGTTTTGTTTTTAAAACAAAAAGCAAAACAAAAACAAAAGTAACTATTTTGTTCTATTTTCAGAATACATACTTTTTTTAAACCAAATTATAAGTGCATATATGATATCTTTTTTATGACTCAATTGAAGGGGGTCGAAACTCGAATTGTTTTTTGTTTAGAAATGAGATGCCTGCTGACCCTACTTACATATACTACTGAATTTAGTTTTAAGGTTTTTAAAAATAAAAATAAAACCATAGACGTGGGGCTGCTGCTGTGTGTGCAGCTGTGAGCTAGCCTCAAACCGTTTTCCGTTAAAATTATATTTTATTCCATAATATGATATACAGTCCTTTGTATGCCTACAGGTGCACTTTGAGGCCGGGTCTAAACATTTAAATGTGTACCATTTTGACGATTCCAACCAGTCCTTCAAAAAGAACTTAGGTAGGCCCCTTATGGTCATATTATAACCGGTATAACGTTTAAAATTGAATAAATATGCGTTTACGTTATACATATATTCCGTACGTATCCCCATAATGCAATGAGCTTAGGCTGTGAGTGTGAGTCTGTGAGACATGATGTCGCGCAGCGCCCGTGCGGGCTTGGGCCGGGCTGCCCGCCACCCGATGCTTGCAGCCTGCTACATATATTTGTATGTACATGCAAAAAGTTAAAAATATAAACTGACCCCGGAGGCCTAAAGGCTGGAATCTGGCTAGGGGGATTGTCTGATACTTAGATGCTAGTCATGCCAAGATGCTGGATGTATGAGCTGATACGAAAAAATATAAAACGAACCTACAAGAGCAAAGAGTAGCTATATCTAAGATTTTGGCTCTGCTCGGTCTTTTTTTATGAGTGATCTGCGCAGTTTTTAAAAACAATATATATATATATATATTCTTGTTTTAGGACATAGCCTCCTAAAATAAAACAATTGAGGTTAAGTTTAGAAGCAAGAAAAAAGAAAGCAAACTGTAACAAACACATCGAGGACTCGGGTTGTCATCGTCGTTTCGGGCTGTACTTATGTATCCTCGCTGCCCGCATTGACGCAATCACGGGTCTTACATTGATACGGTGTCAGTAATTATTCATTGCGGCGTATATAACAGACAGAGTTCCCTGAAAGAATAGCATAAAAAAAACACACACTCAAACGCTTTTGATAATATCTAGCGCATATACACCCAATCTACCACCATGGTGTCTGCAACGGAAACTTTTGTAGAAGTCTCATTGACGAACGAGAAACAGAAAGCTGATATCAAATATGAGGATCTGACCATCTCAGAAGCCCTGCGCATATTAGAAACGTCCGATGCTGGCCTTTCGGGAACCGAAGCACAACAGCGATTGGTGCGATTTGGTCCTAACAAACTTCCTGTGAAAGAAAAGAGTCCTATCTTGGAATTTCTCAAGTTCCTATGGAACCCTCTTTCGTGGTGCATGGAGGTTGCAGCCGTCATTTCTATCATCTTGCTCGACTACGTTGACTTCGCACTGATCATCATTCTCTTGCTTTTGAATGCCGCAATTGGCTATCGTGAAGAGGCGGCTGCGGGAGATGCAATAGCTGCGCTTGCTGCTTCACTGGCACCTCAGGCAAAAGTGCTTCGCGATGGGAACATACAAACTATAGATGCATCCCAACTGGTTCCCGGTGATATAGTACTTGTTCGCCTGGGTGATGTGATTGCAGCCGACATCAAGTTCATCGGTGCCGAAGATCATGAGCCATTACAAATCGACCAGGCCGCTTTAACTGGGGAGTCGTTGCCTGTGAAACGGTTTGCAGGACAGTGTGCATTCTCTGGTTCCACTGTCAAGCAGGGTGAGAGCTTAGCAGTAGTCTACGGCACTGGAGTCAACACATTTTTTGGCAAAGCTGCTTCTCTAATTTCGGATACAGATTCAGCGGGTCATTTGCAAGAAGTTATGTCTCGAATTGGTGCTATATGTATCATCACTATTACGGTCTGGGTGATTATTGAGCTGGGAGTGCAGTTTGGCTACTACAATCACCAGTGCTCTCTGGGCCAAGAAGGGTCGTGCCCTACACTATCGAACATGCTAGTAATTATTGTGGGTGGCATTCCCATCGCTATGCCCACTGTTCTATCCGTAACATTAGCCATGGGAGCCTATAAACTAGCCACCAAGGGAGCAATTGTGACTCGTCTTACGGCAATTGAAGAGTTGGCCGGTATGGATATGCTCTGCTCCGACAAGACCGGAACACTCACATTAAACCAGCTCAGCGTTGACAAGGACAATCTCGAATCAGGCGACGGCTTTACAACCGACGATATCTTGTTGTATGGAGCCCTAGGTGCGAAGATTGAAAACGAAGAGCCCATTGACCTGTGCTGCCACGACGCCTACGGAGACAAGAAGGATACGCTCTGGGATGAGTACAAATGTCTTAGGTATGTTCCTTTCAATCCCAATGATAAGCGTACCATCGCTACCATCCAGGAAGTATCTACGGGTCAGACATTCCGTGCTGCGAAAGGCGCTCCTCAAGTTATTCTACAAATGTCCCACAACTACGAGGCAATCAAAGACAAATTTGAAGGCCGCATCCTAGAGTATGCCAGCCGCGGCTACCGGGCACTTGGTGTGGGGTTTTCAGCGGGTACTGACAATGATTCTTGGGAATTCGTGGGACTCATACCGATTTTCGACCCACCCCGTCACGACACCAAGGACACCATTGTTAAGTGTCTTGAATTGGGCATCGGAGTTAAAATGATCACCGGTGATCAATTGCCCATTGGTGTCGAGACAGCCAGACAGCTTGGTATGGGCACCAATATGTATACAACGGAGGTGTTCAAGAACGAGCACTCGGGGTTGATAGAAGGTACAATGACGCTATCTGAGCTGGTTGAGAATGCGGACGGATTTGCAGAAGTCTTCCCCGAACACAAGTACGATATCGTCAAACGGCTTCAAGAGAGAGGTCACATTACTGGCATGACAGGCGATGGAGTGAACGATGCCCCTGCCTTGAAGAAGGGGGATATTGGTATCGCAGTAGCCGATGCTACCGATGCAGCTCGAGCCGCCGCCGATATCGTCCTGACGGAGCCAGGACTTGGTGTAATCATTGATGCCATCATCGGTGCACGCAAGATCTTCCAGCGCATGAAAAGCTATGCTAAGTACACAGTAGCCATGACTTTCCGTATTTGCTTCACGTTCGGATTGCTTACTGTGCTGTACGACTGGTACTTTCCGACTATACTGATTGTGCTGCTAGCCATATTCAACGACGGTGCCATGATTTCCTTGTCAAAGGATCGAGTGACACCCAGTCGCAACCCGGACGCTTGGTTTTTGCAGTCCATCTTCATCAATGGATTGGTGTATGGATTGTATCTCACACTCTCATCATGGGCGTTGTTTTACATTGCTTCGCACACGGATTTCTTCACTGGCGGTTCCGCATTGAGCCTCCAGTCTTTAGAATACACTGCATCCGGCGAGTACTGCAATACTGTAGAGAGCTTATTGACTGGGACAGCCGAGTACAACCAGTGCGTGACAGAGGTCACCTGGGAACGTCAATCTCGTCTCCGTGCTCTCATGTACGTGCAGGTGTCCATATCCGGCATGGCATTGATATTCGTAACCCGTACCAGCAAGTTCTCGTGGTTGGATCGTCCAGGCGTGCTTCCCATGCTAGCCTTCATTGCTTCACAGATCGTGTCTTCTTTAATCGCCGGATTCGGTTTCAATGGATGGACCGAACCCTTAGACAACACGCCATGCGTTTACTGTGAAGACTTTTCTGGTGCTGCTCCACTCTATGGTACCGAGTCCGTGTACGAAGCATCCCTACTGGGCTGTGGCGTCTGGGTGATCGTTGCGTGGGTTTGGGCCATTCTCTGGTTCATTCCATTGGACTTCATCAAGTTCGCTATGGCCTACATATGCGATGGAGACAGACCTTCTCTGTATACATTGGGAATTCGCACACAAGCTTCCCCAATCAGTAACCCTAAAGCACTCGCTTCGGTAGACGCCTCGAATGGAGCGATTTCCACAGGACGACCCCGCCCTAGTTCAGTCGTACGTGGTAGTATTATGTAATCTGATGTCTTCTACATCATTCAGTACAAAATACAAATAACATATATTTGAAAATAGAGTTGATTATGATATAAATAGTCCTTCCAATTGTGTATCCACTAGTAATTTCTGGAATTCGTGGGCTCTCAATTATATATTACATGTAGACTGATCTGGTCGAATACAAGTCGATTGACACGGCTGGTAATCAAGATCTGAGCGTAGTGCGTATGAATTAATAATAATAAAAATATTTTATAGGAAAGTTTTCAGCAAAGTACAAAAACGTTTGGCAATCTCGAAAAATCTTTGCAGCTAGACCAAAGTACAAAATATTAGTAATATATATATATATCGGTTGTAAGGAATTACTATACACAAGCTCTAGTTTTATAAACATCACATAGACTACACGATGCAGAAGTTTATTATTGATCGTTGCATCTGAACCAAATAAATAGTCGTACGCAGTATCTTACGACGATCGAGCCCCCAAATTCGCTGCGATATTCGACAATTGCTTCCTCGCTTGATCGATTCGATTCTGCACATCCTTTATTGAAAATAAGGATTCAGCAAGATTTAATCTCATCCATTTTAGAACAAACGTATACGATAATGAGGACATTACTAAGTTGGGTATGTGCTGTTTGGTATAGAACAAAGTATAGCAGCCTGAAGGCAATTGGCCGATTGTGTGCTTTTGAAGCAGGGACTGTCAACCTCAATTTACTACACAGCTATACATTCTTGTAAATCTTCAAGGCACATCCAAAACCAAACCCTTACCTTCAAGCTGAACGATCCCTGCTGTCGCTCCACAGCCACCACAGACGGTCCAGCCGTCATGTCCAGTGTGTTCTTTGACGCACTTCCCTCATCAACGCCTGTGCAAACCTTCCCTTCACCTGTCGCCAGCAGGCCGGGCGCTTGCGGTGTTGGTGTGAGGGTCGCTGCGCCAAGAGTTTGACCTGCGATATTGGTCTCACCCTCGTTGCTCTCCGCGTCCACATGTACGCGTGGTGTAGCGTCGTTCACTTCAATGACTTTGATTGAACTGTCCTGTGGTCCATGTGTACGGCCTGGATGTGCTCGTGCAGGAATTGCTTCCCTATTGTGTGTCTCTATATCCGATTGATCCAAGGTATGGCCTGAAAATGGCTCCTGACCCGATACCACCTGTCGCGTTCTGTTTGACAAACTTCCCGTTGCCAGCGCGTCGTGGTAGGTATATACTTCCACCACAAGTGGCGCCACGGGGCTCTGCACAGTAGTCTTGCGCTGCCCGCTACTCGCTCGTGAATCACTTTTGCTGTCGCTTGAAGCGTTCCGGCTGTCCGTTTGATTGACCACACCACCTAACTGCGCACAGCTGGACTCTGCATCTGCACCGTCACGCATCGATTTCCCGTGCTCTACGCCGGTCCAATCCCGTTCAATATCGAGATCATCACCATTCATGCGCAGGCCATTTGATGCTTCCCCATACGACCTTTTGGCTACCCTTTCGGGTGCACCACAGTCACGCCTCGTTGCTGTTGAAGGCTGAGCGGTTGTCTCATACGTTAGACTCCGAGCTGCTCGCGGGCTCCCTCGGCCCGTAGTGTGCGCTACACTGTTTGGTGACTCATAGACTATCGATAGTTCGTCCTGAGTGCCTTCCGCATCCCCACTCGCATCGCTAACATCCGCACTGCCACTGAATAGACTTGTATCACTTGACCTTGTCGACTGCGGGCTGTGCGACAGCCCCGAGCGCTTAGAGGCGCCGTCGTGATATCCCGTGGCAGAACGACGCGTCACAGCAAAGCTACTTTGCACCTCCTCTCTGCGAGTACTATCTATATTCTGAGGTGTGGCATCAGCCACTGCCGGTACTGGGGTCTGTGTGTCGACTCGCACCGAATTTGAGGTGGCTTGCGAGTGACTTCTCACGGGAACAGACTCTGACTCTGGAGGTTGACTGTATGCCCTCCCAAGTGCGGACATGCGCACATGTATCTGTTCTGGTATGTCATCCCCAGGCAAGTGGGTCACGCCAAGTATGCTAGACTCGGCCACTACTGACAGATGATGTGTGTTGTTCCGCGACAGGCTTCGCATCACATCGCTATACGGCACCGGGTGCACCTCGGCAGTGCCGGGCTCTGCGTGCGATCGATCTGCTGGCGACTGCACGCGCGGGACCTCCTTGTGAGACTCCGCGACGACAGACAGGTGCGACATGGCGCTGCTGACATCTCCGTCGTAGCTGCTGCTGTCACTGAACGCCTCGGTTGTGGTAGTTGAGTAGTCTGTGCCCAATGTGCCGAAGGCAGACTGGCCCAGACGTGCGTACGAGTCATGGCTGGCGTCACTTGAGCTCGCTCCTCTCTCTTCTGCATCGATTCCCTTAAGCGTGATCTCTGAGTCAACTTCTGATAGCTCCGATGACGGTGTTCGTGCCATCGCATGCGTTGTGCGCATATTTCTGTCGGAAGACTGAGGACCAATACCTCGTCTAACCAGCCCGGCCTGGTCGACAGCCCTGACCGTGTCTGTAGGTGTTTGCTCTGTACTAATCATGCGTAAATTGCCAGTGATAGGCAGACACTCCTGGAGCACGCGTATAGCAGATTGCTCGTCACTCCCCACACTCACGCGACTGTGTGCCTCTGAATCACTAGACGTCACTACAGACAAGTAGGGCTGACCATCTCTACTAACGCGCTGTATGGTGTTTGTCGACACAGCCATGTGCTGCGGCAGGTCCCTGTCACTAGTATCGGGGTCGACAACAGCGTCCAGGGCCACATCAGATACATACTGAGAGCGTTCCAAGGCTATATCCGTCTTGACAGAAAGTGGCATTGATAGCTTTAGAGCTGTGGCAACAATCGGAGAAAATGTTAATCTCAAATGCCTAGCATGGCAATGATATCTGAGATGTCCAACAGTGGACAAAAAAAGGATACAAATACACAGAAGCACTATGTATATTATCGCCAAAAACGTTAACGGACGTCTCTAGATGGGCTGGGGGTGGTACAATACTCAACACATTCGATTTACAGCACGAAACATTGAAAATACTTGATGAGCTGGGAATAGCGAGGAGATTCAGTAGTGATATGGTGGTTCGTATGTTGGGTTGAAGAGAGTTTAGTCCTCACGTTTTCTTTGCGGAGGTACAACCACATCAAGACCTGAGATCTCAGTTATATCATCTAGAAGAGACGTATGGGAAATAAACATCAGATGCATGCAAAATCGCGACATTATTCACTTCAAGAATTCAATTCCATAAGTCTGTGGCGAATGCGCAATCGAACCCATACCTCGATTTTCGAATGCAAGCACTTCTTTGATACTCTGTATATACTACTCAGATATTAGAATATATAAAACCTCTTAAAAGGGTCGGAGTTCTTCATACAAACCGATGTGCTACACAAAACTGAAGACGCAGTCGGATATAAATATCCCTTCACCTGCAGATTCACATTCAAATAGAGACGCACATCGTGTGATGAACATACGAGGGTAGTGCCGCAAGGAACCATCCGAAAAGCCAGACACCGAAGTAGCGATTGTGACACTCGTTTCCGAGTCACTGAAAGCGAAAGAGTCAGACAACCCCGAGACATCGGACTTCAGCGCACCTCCACCCAAGTTCCAGTTGTGGACAATCTTTACCCCGGCCTCTTGCACTCTCGCGCTTTCGCGGCCAGGATTGTAGCCCTGCTCATGCCCACCCAAAGGCGTCTTAGCTTCAGCCGGTGCCCCACATGCATCTCTGCTTGCCTCGTCCATGTTGCTCGCACGTGCTTCGGTAACCGGGTGTGGCGAGGGTCTCCCAGTGTTCTGCGCACCCACCCATGACTGTGTGCTCAATCGTCGTGTGTTGGTGATGTCGAGACCTTCCTGGGACTTCTCAGCTTTCAACCTGTTCTCGGTTGCTACTACTGGGCGATCACTGTCAGCGCGTGTCACGCTCAGCTCATCGACTCCGAGTGGTTGTGCCGCCTTGGATGATGCGGGGCTCGTGGCTGCAGCATCCTTAGTCGAGCAGGTATTCTTCTGTCGCTCTGTAACAACTGTAGAATTCTCGAACGGTAATCGTTCAGGTATAAGTTTGACATCTAATACTTGGTGTGGTACTTCGGCTGCCGATGCCTGAGCGGCTTTCGGTCGCATACGTCTACCCTTGTGTGTTTTCTCAGCGATACGCACGCGCATGCCATCGTCGCTGATATCAGTGGATAGCACCGAGCACTCGTCGTTACACTCTCCCGATGGCTCGCGATGATTGGTGGACGCAGCTGTGGAATGGAATACGATTGGAAGGGTTACTACTACGATACAACACCCATGAGCTCGCCATACATAGTTAAATGGTTCCAATTGTCAATTGATTTGATTCTATTTTAGACCACGAATCTCCGTGGGGAGCTCCGTGGGAATCCATAGGGACGATCAGTAGAACCATGGGAGTACCCCTAAGGTCCACCCCCCCCTCCCTCAGGGAATGTGAGTTCCAGCCCTCAGCCACTCCTTCCGAGAGCGCATAGTACAGATCTACGAGTACCCCTATCCCGGTCTCCCGGGAGTATCTGCCCCTAAGGGGCCATCTCTACGGTATAGACCTTAGACCGGACTACATTCGACACGCTTAAGATCAGATAACTGCGACAACTGATCACAAGACAGCCATATTTAATATTCGTGCGTCCTCAACTGCTAAACAGATACAAATGAACCGCTCAGGCACGAACAATAAATATGTGCTCGACATTCCTACCTTCCTCAGAAGTGGTGCCGTTTGTAGGTTCTTCTGGCGCAGGACCAGTGTCTTCGTTCGTTGTCTCGTGATCCGAATGCTGCGGACTGACTACAGAAGATTCCACTTCAGGTATATGGAAAAGAAAAAAATGTGGAAGACGGTTTTCACTTAATATATCTAATTGATTAGATTGTGGTACGCATATACATTCATTGAGCGTGTTGTTTGTTAACCATGTATTCCCATATAATCCCGCCCTCTAGATAATAAATCACCCATGTGGACTACAAACAAGATGACAGACGCATGTACAGACCATCCCAGAACTGCGCATATGCAATCTCTACTCATCTACATTTATCCGAGTCGCTGGAAAGCGCGTGCCCGTTGGTTGCATTGTATGAAACACAACGTGCTTCACTACAAAGCAATGTAGAGGGCCGATGCAGACACGCCGATCTGCGCAATACGACTGCGGGAACATACCTCACTCTAAACTACTAGTGTTCTAGTAAACAAGGACATCTGTCCAAGTATGCTTATCAACATTCCCAGTGTTCTATGTACACGTGGTGTGCAACGAACTATAGCCTACTGCAGACCACCCAAGAGCAGTTCTATCTAACAAGTCAAATCAAGACAAACTACCGACATACATACCCATTTCCGCTGGGGGTAGCAGCCGGGATGGCAGATGTGCGGCTTCCTCAGCAGATTCCCTACTTTGCCTTAATTGACCTGTACTCAGTGCTCGCTGGCGATCAATCAGTTCGTACACTCGAGAGAAATCATGCAGCATGTACAAGGGCGTTATGGGATCCTCGGGATCGCCTACACCTGCGTTGTTTCCGGTTGTATCCGTCCTGCCATCACTTTCGGGAAATTCATTTCTGCCTGCAAAAGTATGGTTCCTATACGCGAGGATTGCATCTCCGTAGAAAGCGTTGGCGCCACCTCCAGATCGGTCTTCACTCCCAATACCAATTCCCCTTTTCCCTGCCTGTGTATTGGCATCTGGCATGTACTCGTCGGATTCGATGACTTTCGTATCGTATTCGCTGTTATAAGCACGTTCTACCAGCGCACTGGTATGCACGGGTGTCTTGGTTGTACTGACAGGTGCCTGGCGCAAACGTGCATGGCCCATATTTAGTCTATCGGTGTATCCATAGCCACTGCGGAATGTCAGCGGTCTCGTCGTCACCCCCATATACCCCTGTGTGGTTGCACGAGTGCTCTCTCCTGCTCGCAGATAGGAGCGTGTGTACGGAGCTTCTGTGCGCGTATACGTGTGGCCTCTTGTGGTGTGCGGTGGCTGTGGCGTACGTAGTGCTGATCCACTGTGTGTGCTCGCATGGCTCTCGCCCGACACATCCACAAAGGACAGATTGGGAAATGGGACATCCGCTGCAGTGACATACACAAGAAGATACGTCAGAGTCATCGTACCTATTATACTAATCAATTTAAATGTGAACACCCTCGTCGACCAATCAATTTGACGGTAAAAAGCCAAGCGTGCAAAGTGCTGCGTGACGTTTGTCTGGGCCTCGTTCAAAGACAGTCAGCAGATCACTAAGACACTACCCTAGGTCAAACAACCAGAGGAACCAGAGACGCCTGGAACATAAATCCCCGATCAATAACATCTCGCATAGCTACGTAGTCGTATCGTTTGTGAGGTCTGAGCTCTAGCATGCCAGGCCTCTCCACACCACTGCATAAGCCAGTTGTACGTACTAGAGATCATTCTTAGTGTGTGCCAACACATCGAGAGAAGCGTTCAACAAGTCCAAGGCAGGAGGGGTCGGTGCACACCACAACCAGGACAGAGACACTGAGGTGGGATTAGCAGATGGGACACTCGCGAGACCAACCCGTGAGCTGGCTCATCCGCACATAACGGTTCATAGACAGGAGAAGTCGGTGTTGAATGATCGCGCAGATACCACAACAGATAAAGAGTGGAGGGATATACACCAGACGAGGAATAGATAGAGAAGGTGTTCATGTGCTAAAGTGTATGATACGGCGTTCGTATTGAAAGCGTGTACGCGTATGACTGTAGTCCCCATCAACAGAGCCCGTGGCTCAGCTGAATTGTGCATTGCGCCGGCGTTCAATGAAGGTCTGCAAACGGTCACTAGCTAGATGTATCAATACGCACAAGGACTACAGACGGATACACTCCCCGTGCTAGTACTAACACACGGATAAGCTTACTTCTAGTGAACACACACAAACAACACCCACAAAACTCTCACGTAGTGTCGTGCTAGTATACACACAAACACTACACACATGTAAAGCTCTGCAAATAATATATCAATACACACACGGAAATCTCTGCTAGTAATTAACCATACAAACGAACAATAAACACACCAGGCTCTCTGCTAGCGATGTATTAGTACACAAGAAAGAATACATACATACACACACTAACAGTACTCACCAACACACCCATAGTATAAACACACAAACACAGTGATTATACCAATACACATACAAAGAAACACAAAACAGTCCTATCACTTTCTGCAACACACACATAAAACTCTCTCGCCACATAGTAGGCGTGTGGATAACAATGCCCGTATGCGACAAACACCCACCACATCCGTCCTGGAGTCCTCCATCTCGCTCAACATGGTGTCGGACTCGCACCTGCGATTTCGGGCTGCTCACCATGTACCTAATGAAACGTATACGCTAAATTATACACCCTGCTTTGTACCATATACGGTCTATTTGATGGTGCGATCACGTCGTGTAAAAGCTTGCAGCGTGTGCATACATGTACGTTCTACAGTCTTCTGGATATTGTGATCAACGCTACCTCCTGTGTTTCCGAGCCCTGCGTACAGAGTTTAACTCTCGCATTGTTACGTGGCGATGGGGTTAGACAGTTCAGCGGCGATACACTGTATATATTTACGTACCTATATGAAGCTGTTCATGGTCGTTAAATACACACATTACATGTTTTTAACTTGAATATTTAAATGCATCTTTACAGTCGATAGAGTGGTCTCCGTCGACACAGATTAGAGAATTGATTAAAAATATGTCCGGTTTTGTTCCCGCCAAAATGTATAGCGTAATCGCTTTTCATTGGCTGATATGAAGGTACCCACATATGTGTACAGACTCGTTCTATTTGTGTCAGTATAAAATACTTGCAGTTATATCTGATATTTATGAAGTATTTATGTGCACATTTCGTCATATCATAGTGAAATTAAACCCACTTGTTCGCTTTCAGCCTGTACCAGTAGATGTTGGGCCATCTCATGCAAAGGTCAAGTGTCGACACAAGAAAAAGGAGTATAACAAATATTTCCGCGACCGTGGTCACCGTGTTCAGTCATCGAAGCTGATGTATGTGGCACAGCTAGGCAATCCAGCTGTTGTTGTCTGTATAGTCAGAGGTGATGAGGAAACAAGAAATAAACATGGAACGAATGTGACCTACACTGGCAACCAGTGTTTTCTAGGTGTCCCCATCATGTGTCAATAGATGTGTATAAAACGTACACAACGCAATCGTGCAATTCATATTTACGTAGAATACATTCATGAAGACCGTACTTATGTATTTAGAACGTTAAATTCGTGTACAACGTAGGCGCTAAATTATATTTTATTAATTATTCCGGTCCACCGAATTCTACTTCCCCCAATGCAAAGTGCTAAGCTAATGTTTCCTACTGGGATCCCACTTCGGGTCACTCCAATTCGTGTCGGCCAAAATCTTATCGAAGTCGATCGTCTTCAGATAGTCGACATCGTACAGGTAAAGTATCTTGCTCCCTAATAGAGGACAGAGATAGTTCAAATTGTGCTTGAGTATACCCCGCATAGTGCTTCTATTGCGGCTGCTGTATGTGAATAAAGATGCTACTGCAAGTGATAGTGATATCGCTGGATTCACATGAGCTACATAGTATCGAGTTGCACGCATATACCCGAGTCTACCGATAGAGTTTACGTATCGGAACTCTGAAGTACATACATAGAATATTTGCGTATCTGCCCACGTGCTGCACGCACATGTAAAGGTATGTGTAAGCACTTGGATCCCTACATACGCTTGTGCAAGTGTGCAAGTACCCTTGCTTATGTCCCGTCACATGCAATACGCTACAAACAACATGTGCAAATGTGCACAATCACATTCATGTCTGTCAAAATATACAATCGTGTCCTATTATTCAGGGGCACTTGTGAACGCAAAGCTACTCGAAATGCGCTAGAGACGATGGGTATTTTTCGTTTGCAAACTGGCAGGTATACGTCAGC